CGCCTGTGGCCAGGGAAACAGGTTCCCTCTTCTCCTACTGTAGTCATTACTTCAATATTCCCCTTCTGAATTTCTCTCCTGTGCTGCAACCCAACTCCACTTTTTATCGGAAGGATACGGAACAGAGAGAGCAGTGTTAAAAGCTTACATTTTTAAGCCGGTAAGGTTGGTACTTAAACATATAAATGGAAAACTAGAGTCCTTAAGGTAACAAAGGCTACAAAGGACAGGGACAGCGCATGACCTATTATATCCAGCAATCCATATGGGGACTGAAAACTTTGCAATGATGACAATTACTGAAGATATGAATCAACTAAAATAGTTGACAGGGACAATTCTTCCATCTTTGAAAATATCTACATCAAATCTGTTTAAATAGATTTTCATCTGCATAATATAACACATTCTGACAAGACCACCACCACCACCAATGTGGTCAGTGTTGTGCCGATAAATGTTTAATAACTGAGGGACCCCCCCCGAATGCACAAATTTTTGTGCACCGGGCTACTAGTAAATTATATTTTTAAAAAGTACTGAAGGATCAGACAAGTGCCAGAATCCAAAATTTATCAAAAGATAGAATGTTGGCCCTGGAAAGGACACTAGGAAGTTCCTAGTTCTGACTTTCTCAATGTAATAGATCTAGCAAAAATCTAAAATCCAGCACACAGCCCAGCTAGCATGGCCCAGTGGTTGAGCATTGACCTATGAACCAGGAGGTAATAGTTCGATTCCCAGTCGGGGCACATGCCCTGGTTTCAGGCTCAATCCCCAGTGTGGGGCATGCAGGAGGCAGCCGATCAATGATGCTCTCTGATCATTGATGTTTCTATCACTCCCTCTCCCTTCCTCTCTAAAATCAATAAAAAAATATATTTTTAAAAATATAATAAAATCCAGCACGCAAGCACTCAAATGAAACTAATCACTGCATGTGGTTGAGTTAATCCTCTACCCACTCTGATAAAAAGTAATATTAAAAGTAATGATTCTAAAAATGTGCTTTAAAAGGCAATAATAACTATCTGACTGAATAGAGAGCAGCAAAAAAGGAGAAAGGGTGGATATGCATAAGAACACTAGGAAAGGGAAGAAAGCAAAAGCAACTCTTATCCCAAGAATTTCTTGACACCATAGCAGGACTTTCACTCTTTTCTCTGAAGGGACCTATGTTTAATTATAGAGACAATTTGGGGAGATAGTGAAGGGAGAGGATACAAAGAAAAGCTGAGAAGATGGACACTCCCTGTCAACAATTCTCCACAGTGACTTAACAAACTAAAGAAGAATCATATTGGGGGGTTGCAGGGCTGAGTGAAAAAGGTGAAGGGATTAAGCAAAAAGAATTAAATAAATAATGCCAAAAAAAGAGGAGTCATATCTGCTACTTCTGGCTTAATGTGGTGAAGGTTTTTTTTTAAAGCAGTAACGCATAGTGAAGTACTTAAGTGCTTTACATTCATTATCTCATTAATATACACTACAGCTTTACGATGTACATTCTGTTAGCATCCCAATTTACAGATGAGGTATGGAAAGATTAAGATTTTAAATCCAAAGCTGGCCAAGATTTAACCCCAGGCCGGCCTGACTCCAAAGCCACTGCTCCTAATCATTATGTCATACAGACTCTCCAATCAGAAATGGTGAGAAGCAGCAGGGAATGCAGAGAAGTTACCAGCACAGCAACTAACCAGATCACCTTTGAAGAGCAACAATTGAGAATGACTCAATAGGGAATCCCTGATGTGCACTGCTGCATCCATCAGGTGAAATCATCCGATGGACAGAAAAGAGGATGAGAACTGAGGCATAGCTAATTGTTAGGCAGCTGTAAATTACAAATGCAACAAAATAAGGAAGACCAAAATATGAAGCAGAGAAAACTGAGGGCCCTGTACTCATCTGACCTCAGCTGAAGAAACTCTGAAAAATATACTTTTCTTTTATCCTTTCTTTGGTCTTTGAATGATAATCATTATTCTTTAAATATTTAATTTGCAGGACAAGAAAGGAAATAGCATTCAGCACTATTCATTCTTTGAACCCTAAGTTGGTTAACAGTTGTATCCATCTAATAATCAGTGGTTCTCAACCTTCCTAATGCCCCAACCCTTTAATGCAGTTCCTCATGTTGTGGTGACCCCCAACCATAAAATTATTTTCGTTGCTACTTCATAACTGTAATTTTGCTACTGTTATGAATCGTAATGTAAATATCTGATATGCAGGATGTATTTTCATTGTTCGCGACCCACAGGTTGAGAACCGCTGAAATACTAATGTGCCAGATATACGGCTATCCTAAATTTTCAACAAATATACAATTTTAATAAAATAATTTTTTCTTCTTTCAAAATGCCCCCCTGCATTTTATAATGTTTACTAGCGAATTAATCACATTCCTATAAATAAATACACACAGATAAATGACAAAACCAGAAAGAGCAAACATACTATTCTAAAAAAAACAAAATTTTCCACTATTCCACATACACTCAGGTTGTTCCTTAATGCTCCATATACAGATAATGAGTTCAATGTAAGAGTTTAATCATCCCTTCTAAAAGTTTAGCACAATAAAATCATACTTCTTCTGGCAAAATGTATTGCTAATCAGACAAAAATGCAGATGCAAAATAAATTTTAAAAGAATAGCTAACTTTAAAATTTCATCTGAATAGAAAACAAAGACGTACTATGCTACACTAAAGATCTTATTTTCATATTTTAATTTTGGCAACTAGGAACACATAAAAACAAAGTATATATCTTTATAACTAAAAAATTTAAAATACAAACAAATTTCCTATCTTTATTATATCAAATCTTCCACATAAAAGCAGTGTTGAAATGTAAGTTATCACACAGTATTTGATTATCTGATATATCAGACTTATAGAATTTAAATGATCTTTCAGAAAAGCCTTCTTGAAGTCTATGTATAGGTCGCCACCTAGTGGATATAAATATAAGAAAACTAAGATGTCATTAAAATGTTAAAATTGGTTCATTGAAAATTAATGCTTTGATCACCAAATCAAATGCCTTAGGAATTCAGGCTACTTCAACTTTTGAACACATGCTATATTTTGCTAAGGTAAGTGATTTATTAGTCATATTCCATTGTTGTTTTTTAAGGGAAACATCTTTTTCTGATGGAAAACAACATTCACAAGATACTATGTAAGAAAGGACCCTTTTTTTTATTACTGGTAACATATTAGGATTATTTTTTTGTCAAAAAGCACATTGTATCCCTATACTATTTTAAGTATTTTTCACTGTATCTTCATTGTTTAAAAAAAAAAATCCATCACAGTATCTATGGAGAAAATAACATGCATGTTTCCTAAGAAAGATTTTTTAACTTTTTTTTTCTTATATATTTTATTGATCCCCCACAGAGAGAAAGGGAGAGGGATAGAGAGTCAGAAACATCGATGAGA